GCCGGGCTGCTCGTTCCCGAGACCGCCGTCGCCAAGTGACCGCCCGCGGCCACCGAGTGACGACCCTTTCCTTTCCCGACCCTCATTAAAGTCAGCGAGGTGGAAACATCTGACAAACGAAGGAGGAAACGGAACGAGGGCAGGGATCCTCCAAAAGCCGATTGGTGGCTTCAGATGCGTAAGGTTTGCCTTTACAGAAGGCTGAGAGGATGGAACGGCAGCTCTCCTTTATCCCTGCTAGTCTGGCCCTGCACCTAAATGTTCGTGGGGGTTTGTGCATCAAATCATCAAGAGCACGGGTGCCTTTTTCTTTTCCTTATTCCAAGTCACAGATCCAGAGATCATCATCTTTCTCCCCAACGAGCAAAGGGAGTATGGATTTTTTTCAGTAAGGTCCTTCATCCCACCGTTGCCCTAAAATAGTAAACAGCCCCCTATTTAAAAGCAACAGTACATAAGTCCAGTGGAGTTTAACTGCCTGGGGACAGCTGCAGTAGTGGCATCGTCTTTTCTTATTAAACCGTTGCAAAAAATATCCGGTCTAGTCCGTAAGTTGTCAACTAGATAGCCATTTTACCTAATCAGTGATGTCACAGGCAGTAGCAATAACCCTTGGTTATTTTTAAGTGACTTGTTAACCTCAGATTTTTAAATGCATAATTTTGTTGATCTATGATGTAGAAGTTTGTTTACAAATTGCAACGCGTGGGTTCGTCCTTTATCTCTTTCTAAGAAAATTGCACACACCGCTTTACTTTGGGGGACTGAATTTTGTATAAATTCGCTGCGGGATGAATGTCATTTTTCTCTCTGATAGTCAAATAGTTGATTAATATGAGAAAAAATAATTTAAATATTGGTCAGTTTGGGTATAATACCAATTTTTTTCTGCATATTGTTTCTGCCTGCTTTCGTTTTATATTTAATTTGAAAGTCCATTGTAGAAGACAAATTATCTCTTTTCAGTTATTGTAAATTAATGGCTTAGGTAGGAATTCATTTAGTCAGATACTCCACATAGTGTAGGAATTGCCCCTTTCCACCTGCACTTCAGTCCTGTGAAAAATAAACCATCTGCTCAAGGTCCCCGTGCACTTTTTATTGCAAGTTCATTTCCTATTATTTGAGAAAATAGACCACAAAACTAGAGATTTTCCATGAAGCCTGATTTGTTAAAATGGCTTTTTTATTCATAGTACTATGGGGAAAACCAACTCAATTTGTACTTTCAATTCTTTTGGACATATACCCACAAGTAGAATTGCTGAATCATATAATAATTCTGTTTTTCACCTGTTTGAGGAGCTGCCATTTTCCACGATGGCCACACTATTTTGCATTCCCACCAATAGCCCAAGGATTCCAGTTTCTCCACATCTTCACCAACAATTGTTATTCTCTGTATTTTTGTTAGAAGCCATCCTAGTGGGAGTGAGGTGATACCTGATTGTGGTTTTGATTTGCATTTCCCTAGTGATCAGTGATGTTCACCATCTTTTCCTATGTCTGTTGGCCATTTGTTTATCTTCTTTGAAGAATTGTCTGTTCAAGTCCTTTGCCCATTTTCAGTTGGGTGATATATCTTTTTTTGTTGTAAAGTGATTTTTTAATGAGACAAATTAACATTTTAGTGTTACACCTTCAGAGAATTCATCTCGTTTTACCTTACTCCCAACCTTGAGTCCTTAACCCAGAATGTGATCCCTTCCCACCACTTCACAGGTAACGATCCCAGTCCAAACTATCATTATATTTATATTTCTCTCTCAAACTTCTGTTTCCATTCTTGCCCCTGCTACCAACAGTCAACCCAACTGCCAGCGTTAGATTAAGTCACTCCTGTGGTTGAAACCCTGCTGATGGCTTCCTAACTTGTGCAGGATAAAAACTAAAGTCTTTTCCTTGACCTACAAAACTCCATACATTCTGCCCTCCTTGCCATCTGGCCTTATGATCTCTCAAACCTCATTCACACCAGCCTCCTTCTTACTGTTCCTTGAACATTTCAGCATCCCACCTCAGAGCCTTTGCATTCGCCATTTCCATTGCCTGGAATCCTCTTACCCTTGCTATCCACACGGCTCATTCCCTCACATTCTGCAGATCTTAACTTAAAAATCACCTTCTTGTTGAGGCCTTCCCTTAGCACACTACTGAGAAGCATCCCCAAAGCCACCCTGCCCACAGGTGCAAGCACGCAGGTGTGCACGATTCCTGGCCCCCGTCCCTAGCTTACTTTTCTCCTGGCACTCATCACTATATGTTGTGCCACACGTGTCACTCATGTGTTTGTCTCCCCACTGAACTGTAACTTCATGATGGGAGGGAACTGTATGTGTTTTATTCATCGCCACATCCCTCATACCTAAAATAGTACCTGGGACACAGTAGGCACTTTAGTAATGTTGATTGAATGAATGAGTGGATTTTGAAGGCAAAGTGCATTGAGTAATGGAAATGCAATTACCATGAGCATCTCCTGCCTGTCCTGAGTCTCATTTGTACCTTTGCCTTTCCTCCACCACCACCATCACCACCATCCAAACTGAGACAATATCCATTATAGACTCTCACTGAACTGCAAACTTTGTAACAAATATTGATTGCCTCGTATGTTCAAGAATTCCACTTGTCTCTTTCAGTGCCTTTGTGAGTCTTCACATCTAACATTCAAATACTTGTTGGTTAATTTTGATTTAAAAGAATATGATGAGAATAGAGGAAGAAAACAGTAACTTTCTAATGGAGACGCCTGGCAGACACCATCCTAACCAAGTGATGAAGGTTAACATCACCAGTGATAAGTCAATTTGTTGTTGCGTGCTCTCTGATATGATGCAGTAGGAATGGCACTTAACCTCTGTGGTCTTCTTCCCAAAACTCATAACCCCAAACTAATTAGGAGAAAATGTCAGACAAACCCAAATTGAGGGATATTCTCCAAGATACCTCACAAGTACTCTTCAAAACTGTCAAGATCATTAAAAAAAAAAGAAACTGTCACAGACCTGAGAAGACTACAAAAGACACAAGAGACCTGATGATTAAATGTAATGGATCGCCAATGAAATCCTGAAACAGAAAAAGGACAGTGATGAAAAACTGGTGAAATCCAAATAAAGTCTGGAGTTTTATTAGTAATAAGGTACCAGTGTTGACTTCCTAGTTTCGATATGTGTACACTGATTATGTAAGATGCTAATGTTAGGGGAATCTGTGTGAGGGTACTTGGGAACTCTCTGTACTGTACTGCAACTTTTCTGTAAAACTAAAATTATTGCAAAATTAAAAGCTTTTTAAAACTACCTTGCATTTCGACACGTTTACAATAATGTCTGCGGTTCAGTGGAAGTCTATAATGGTTGTTGTCTCAGTCTGCACGGTGGTGATGGTGTTGGTGGTGGTGGTGGAGGAAAGGCAAAGGTGCAATTGAGACTCAGGACAGGAAATGCTCATGGTAATTGCATTCCCATTACTCAATGCACTTTGCCTTCAGAATCCACTCATTCAATCAACATTACTAAAGTGCCTACTGTGTGCCAGGTACTATTTTAGGTATGAGGGATGTGGCGATGAATAAAACACATACAGTTCCCTCCCGTCATGAAGTTATAGTTTAGTGGGGAGATAAACACATGAGTGAGACGTGTGGCACAGCATATGGTGATGAGTGCCAGGAGAAAAGTAAGCTAGGGACGGGGACCAGGAATTCTAAAAAGATATAATTTCCAGTAGCAATAATGACTAAACAATAAACTTAAGCATTTTCCTCATGTTGCTTAATATCCATTAGTTTAAAAAAGGAGACGGTGAAGAAGCATGGACAGAAGTGATCAGGGACAAACCCTTGAAAGTGTGACAGGGAACTCTGCTCTTTTCTGTTGTGGTGGGAATGGAAAAGGACAGTGGGAGCAGGTCCAGCACCCAGGCAGCAGCAGAAACAACAGTTCAACAGATACTCATGGAGCACGTACTGTGTACCAGGTACTATGGACTTTAGATGCTCTGAAATGAATTAATGCATTAATTTCTAAGGGCACTAGGTTTGATTTCTACCTAACACATTTTCCTTTAGGTAGAGTTCCTACAGATTACTTAAGCTTATTTCCCTCTTTTCATTGTGCAAACGTATCTATATTATTTTCTTTATAATAACTAACAAAATATATATCCCACGTTTTTGTGGCACTTTACAGCTCGCAAAACACTTCTCCCTACGTTATCCTGTGCATCATAGCAAAGGACAGAGTAATGATTCAGAACATGGACTCTGGAGACAGACTGCAGGGACTGGAATAACACTCACCATGCATGACCCTGGGCAAGACTTCTTGGTTTCCACAGCCAAAAAATGGGAACAAAAACAGTGCCTAACTCACAGAGTTGTTATGAGAGGATTAAGTAAGTTAGAATGTGTAAAGTGCTTAGTCTAGGACCTGGCACAAGGTACACTTTGCAAGTGTTAGATAAACTCCTTATTGCATACGAGACGCTAAGAAAGCTCTAATTTTTCTCATTCAATCAGTATTGGTACAGCAAGAACTTAAACCGTATTTTTCATCTTCAAAACAAGGTTCTTTGTATCACATACATAATGGAACAGCAGTAAACACCGAACTAAATCGCACATAGGTATGCAAGAATGGTAATAAAATTTCAGAGTTAAAGGAAACTTACAAAATCACCAACCTAATCCTCTGCCCAATTCAAGCATTCTCTCCACATTTACCTGAGGAATTGTCATTCAGCCTCTGGACATCTCCAGTAACAGGACTCACTGCCTCAAGAGATAAGCCATCCCATTCTTTGCCAATTCAATTAAAACATTTTTCTTGTCTCCTTGTTACTAATGTACTATTTCTAGTTCTGTTTAAAGAGAGCATGTCCAATTGATCCTAGTATTTTGTGTTTAATATTTCACTTCATGTACTTCTACACATCGTTCTATTTGACTTTAAAATAGCAAATTCCTGCGTGAGAAAAGAGTTGGCACCTTTTGAAATGCCTTAAAAGGCTAATGTAACAAAATTCTAATCTTTTATTTTGCAGAATGCATAGAACAGTGTAAATGCGTTTATTACATCTGAGATAATATTTCCACACTTGTTGCTGTTTTATAAGGAATCCATATGATTTCCAATTAAAGTATCCTTTTCTTAAAGCTCTTTAAGATGAAGGCAAGTTTCCTTTTTAATTTTGAATTATCACATGTTCATTTGACATAGAGCCTTCATTGTATGACGAATACCAGAAACACAAAAATCAGTAACACGCGGTTCTCATTCTGCTGTGTACAGAAGTGGTATTTTTCAGTATGGCTTGAAGGGACCCTGTATGTAGGTTCAGAATTACTAGATTTTGTTGACAGGTAAAATTACTAAAATTTGTCTTCAGCATGGTCAATGCAAAAAGATTTGTAGGATTGAATGAATGTTGATTTTTAAATTAAAAGTAAGTCCTACTGTTTAGATTTTTATTCACACTTGGAAATTCGTGGTTCCTTCATTTTATAAAATTCAGAGGTTTGAAAGCATAAGAAACTAAAATTTTGGCTTTATCTCATAGTCAGAGCCTTAACACCATGTGTAAAGAAATATTGCAAGATAATCTCCTACCTTTTTGAATTCTTTTCATCCAATTCATAAACGTATACATTTTTTGAAATAAAAATATCCGTTTTGTTAAATGGAATTTTAAATTTGTATCTATTTATTATAGTATTGATTTTTATTTTGTATATTTTAATTCTTCCTTTAGAGTTTAGGTAGACAACTTTTTAGATCTGATTTTAAATTATGCATTTATATGAAAATAGAGTAAAATGAATCACTTGTGGTTAATAAATTCAATGTTCTGTTTGTTAGAAAAGATTGTTATAAAATCACTGATACATTCTAGCAGAAGCAGTAAAGGTTATGTCAAATAACTACTAAAAAAAAAAATCATACTACATAGTGTTAATGATGTTACCTTAACATACCAGCTTCAGGGGCTGCATAATTGTTTCTGCCAACCCATAAATTTTTGAGTAACAACAAAATTATTGTGATTTTTCTTACTAAATAATTCATACATTACAAAGCATGTATGTAACAAGGTCCATGAATCACTAAAGCATATAATGATCATATATCTAATGACATATCTCTTTTCATAAGATGAACTCAAATAGATTTATGTATTTAGGTTAACTAAAAAATACTGCGTTTATAAGGTTCGTAATTCTATCATCAGCAGCAACAATGTAAAAAAACTTCAGGTTGTCTTTAGGAAGTACATGATTTGCTTTTAAAAACTGAAAGCTTTTGTTTATCAAAATCCTTGTTTAAGCTACTTTTCATGAAGTTTTACAGCTTTTAAATTGATACTATAAATATCACTGAAGATAAATTAATAATATAATGGAGTGGTACAATGTTCATAAACTGTATTTAAAATGATATAAGTGCAAAGAAAATAGCTATAAGCAATACTATATACAATCTCATTCTAGTAGTAGCTGATACTCTGTATCCAGCAACTAGGATCTAAAAAAGGATATTTTCATTTCCTAACATTTTACGTACTTTCCTTTGGTCTTATCTTAAATAATCTCAAACCAAGTATATCCTTTACTTAGTGCTACCAAAAATGATCCCAAATGAGATTTCATCTCCTTGATTAAAACTAGGATTCATATTAAAATGTTTAAAATTCCAAGAATACAACATACAAAGTGTTAAATTAACATTTCACCTCTTTTAATTTCTAGCGTTTTTCTAAACTTAGTTATTTTCTATAGAAATCATGCAATCAGTTGTGTTTTATCATAGTAATATTGAATCCTTCACTAATTTTTATAAATTATTTTTATATACGGTAAAATACACATCACATACAATTTACCATGTTAACCATTTTTAAGTGTACAGTTCATGTTAAGTAATTCACATTACTGTGTAACTATCAATACCATCCATCTCCAGAATTCTTTGTATCTTGCAAAATTGAAACTCTATACCTATTAGATACTAGCTGCCCATTTCCCCTCCCCCTTTACTAATTTTTTAGCAGCTTTATTAAAAGATAATTTACATATCATACAGTTCTTCTGTTTTGAGTATAGTCAGAGTTGTGCAATCATCACTGCAATCGATTTTAGAACCATTTCATCACCCCAAAAAGAAACCCCATGCCCAGTAACAGTCATTTCTCATTTCCTCCCAACCTCCCTAGCCCTAGGCAATCACTAATCCACTTTCTATCTCTATAGATTTGCCTATTCTGGACATTCATATAAATGGAATCATAGAATATGTGGTCTTTTATGATGGGCTTCTTTCACTTGGCATAATGTTTTCAAGCTTCATCAATGCTGTAGCATGGACCAGTACTTCTGTCCTTTTTGGGCTGAATAATATTCTCTTGTGTGAATATGCCCATTTTATTTTTATTATCAATTGATATAAAAGTTATTTCCAATTTTTGGCTAGAACAAGTAATATTATGGATATTTGTATACAAGTTTTTGTGTGAACATATTTTCAGCTCTCTAGGGTATATACCTAGGAATAGAATTGCTGGGTCATGTGGTAATTCCTTATTTAATATTTTGAGGAACCACCAAACTTTTCCGAGTGGTGGCACTATTTAACATTGCCCCACTAGCAATGCCTGAGGGTCCCAATTTCTCCGTATTTCTTGTCAACACTTGTTATTATCTGTCCTTTTGATGATTGCCATCCTAGTGGGTATGAAGTATTATCTCACTGTGGTTTTGATTTGCACTTCCGTGATAGTGTTACACATCTTTCATGTTCTCAGTGGCTATTTGTGTAAGTTCTTTGGAGAAATGTCTGTCCAAATCTGTTTTTCAATTGGATTATTGAGTTATAAGAGTTCTTTATATAGTCTGGCTACATGTTCCTTTTCAGATATATGATTTGCAAATACTTTCTCTTATTCTGTCAGTTATCTTTTCATTTTCTTGACAGTGTCCTTTGAAACACAAAAATTTTTAATTTTAATGATGATAATTTAAATGATTTCTTTTTGCAGGGTCATTTGCCTTTTCTTTTATCCTTTCCCCAAATAAGGGATTTTTATAGTAGGCTGTATATAAAAGCAGCTTCTTTACTAGAAAGCTAACTGAACTTTCAGAAATATACTTACTAAAGACAATCTAGATTTATTTCATTCCAGTTGTATTAAATATACTCTCAATTAGCAGAATAGAGTTCTGAGAAGTTGCTGGATGGCCAAGATTTGTGTCAGTGGAAACTATTTTATCCACATAATCATTTAAAGAAAAACATT